CCCAAGCTAAACAGACTACTGAAGGTAGCAGGGCATTGATCCAGCTCAAAGGAAGCAGAGAAGGCAAATGCCTTCAGGCCCATGAGGGCAGGTGACCATCATTTTACTGGACGCTTTGCAGCAGATGAAGGCAAAATGCAAAACACAGGGTCTGGGGGGTGGGGCTCAGAATTGGGCTCATGGCCAGTGGAGCTCCATGAAATACTCCAGGGCGACACCACCGAGGGTGTGCATGCTGTACAGTCTTCTTCAGGGTGGCCTCCCACAATCAATCGACCACATCTATAAAAGCCTTGGCACTTCCTGGAAGGAGCTGCCACCGAGATGGGAACACAAAGGGTTATTATTAGAGCTGTTGTCTCTCGACTCACTCGTTTCAACCTGGGATCTTAAAGAACCCGATCGACATCCCTCACCTTGAGAAGGACAGACCGAGCTGGGGACGGAGAAGGTATCTGGTTCTGGGCTGACCCGAGCCACTTGGACATGCCAGCTTCATTCAACCCTTCAGGCAATAAGGAAACTTCTCTTGTGTCCTACAACTTGCCAGGCCCTAATCTGGATGCTGGGGACTCCCAGGGGCAGTGCTTTCTCCGGTGGCTCGAGTCCTAGTGGGGGAGAGCAACTTACCCTAACTCACAGCGACCCTATAGGGCAGGGTAGACCTGCCCCTGTGGGTGTCTGAGACGGTAACTCTTTATGGAGGTAGCAGAGCCTCACCTTTCTGTCACAGACTGGTTGGTGGTAGCAGCCCGGCCTGTAACCCACATGCTACCACAGCTCCTGGGGTGGAGGGTGCAGCAAGAAGCAAGCCATAGGCCCACCCATGGGTGAATCTTATGGCCCATGCTTGAGCGAGGGAAGGACGGTGGCAGGGAAGGCCTTGTGCTTGGCACCTGGGCAGACCTGTACTGAGGCCTTGATCTTGTGCTCCTAGCTGTGGGCTCTCTAAGGCTTGGTGCCCTCCCCTCTCGGGGAAGCCCCCGAACCGCTGCTGCATAGTCTGGAAGATGAGAGTACTGTGCTGAGCATGGTGCCAGGCGGCGTACACTGCGCACGCTACATAGTCAGAGGTCACTGCCGTCTTCACTCAAGGTCAATGTCCTGAATGCAGCATGGGGCCCTCTCATGTGATGCTTATCCATATCTTCGGACTCCCAGAACTGGCAGGGTCCCCAGCCATGGGCTAGCCATCTGACCCCAGCTTTTACCTAGCAGGCGCCTGAAGGTCAGAGGGGCTTTCTGATCCCTGTCCCAGCAAGTCTGGAGGGCATTCTCCCTGGCGGTGGGGGGTGGGGGAAGGGAGGGAGGTGACTTGGGATCTGCTGGCCATGAGGACCTCACCAGGGGAGCTCTCTCCCACCTCACTGCCTGCTGACCATACCCACACCTACCGTCCCTGCCCCCTCCAGAAAATGCACGGGGCTTGAGGAAGCTGAGATGGCCCCACACAATCACCTGCCCTGGTTGTTCACTTCATCTCCCCCTGCCTCTATTGCCCCTGCCTAGGCCCCACAATCACCTGCCCTGGTTGTTCACTTCATCTCCCCCTGCCTCTATTGCCCCTGCCTAGGCCCCACAGCTCTGTTGGGGAAAAGCAGACCAGGCCGGAAGAGCCAGACATCCGTGTGAGCTTGGACCCCCCTGAATTGCCCCTCCTGCACCTTCACCTCTGTCCACTGTCCTGCCAAGGTCACAGTAGGGGCTATCTGTGGACAGCTCAGCATGATGCTGGACTCCTCACGACACACCCCCAGGTGGTACTTCTTTCTCTGGGCCACTGCTGCAAACCAATCTGCTTGCTGTCTCGAAGCATGCCCAGAACTTTCCAGCCTTTGGTGACTGCAATCCTTCCTTCTCCACAGCCTCAGATCCCTTGCCTGAGCCCCTCCCCTCCACCCAGATCGCCACCTGCACCTTTCCCACTGCCTGGCATGGCTGCTCTTCACTGCTGTGTGCACACCCCAAACAAGGTGCAGCTGCATTTAAAACAGCACCCCAGCGCCACGTACCAAGTACATATCAGGTGCCTTCAACACAGCATCCTCACACAATCCCAGTGAGGTCTCCCCCAGAAGGCCCAGTTGCAGATGGGGACACTGAGGCCCAGGGTTACTGAGCCAGGAGATGCCCTCCCCCCCCCATTGCCTCAAGTTGGAAAAGTTTATCCCTTTGAGAAAGGAGCAGGGCCGAGAGAGGAGGGAAGGTGGGCAGGGAACCAGGGCAGTGCCTGGCCTGGTTTCTCACCATCATTTAGGCTGTGGGCAGGCAGCCAGCCATGCAGACCCAGCCCAGTGCTTCTGCACTATGGCATATTGAAAACGGGGGTCTGTGGGGGTGGAGTGAGGGCAGGCCAGGAAGCCTGGGCTGAGGTGGATGTGGGGACCAGGACTTAGTATGGAGCTGGCTGATGGCTGGGTAAGGATGAGGCGTGAGAGAGGACCTGTCATTCATTGGCATCACCGATAAAAGTCCCTCCGACATCCTCCACTTGGCCCCGTTAAGGCCCCTTTAAGAGCTGCTTGCCTCCTTCGTAGCCCGAGAAGGCCAGCTGCCATGGAAAGCCCAGGGACCTGGATATCTGACCTTGCTAGAGATGCCTGGCTTCAGCTCTATGGCACGAAGCTTGAATAAACCCAGCTCCCCTCTGCAGGGTCCCTATACCTTCCCCTCGGCCACCCTGCGTCTCAGGCCACTTGATTTCCACAACCAGCCTAAGCTAGTTGGAGGGTAAGATTGTGCATCCTGTTTGCCAACGAGAGAACCTAGTGTGGTGAGATGACACGGCCCAGAGGGGGGAGCAGGGCACAGGGGGGAGCAGGGCACAGGGTCTGGATGTACATCCAGGCAGCAATGTCAACTGAGTACTGCTTTGTGCCAACTATTGCTCATTATGGGAGATAAAACAAGCATGAAACTCACTCCTTATTTAAAAAAAAAAAAGAGTCTAAACACACACACACACACACACACACACACACACACACACACACACACGCACTATACCAACTCATCTGATCCTCAGGGCCACCTTATGAAGGTGAGGAAACGGACGCCCAGAGTGGTTCCTGGAACTGTCCAACTGGAACATGGCAGAGTTGGGATTTGAACAGGGGCAGTCCAGGCTGAGCCCATGCATTTACCCGCATAGGGGCAAACACAGCCTAAACCCAAACCCACTGCCATCGAGACAATGCTGACTTACAAACCAAACTCCACTCTGACACACGGAGACCCTACAGGGTGGGGTCCACCTGCCCCTATGGGTGTCTGAGACGGTCACTCTTGACAAGAGCAGAAAACATCTGCATTCTCACTCACAGCAGCTGGTGGGTTTGAACTGCTGGCCTTGCACTTAGCCACCCGGTGAGTAACCCAGCCTGCCACCAGGGAGCACACAGGAAAGAGGCCTATTTTGGAGAAATTCAGACTCGGGACCCAAAAGGCCCATGGATGTCCTAGCTCTTTGGCCTCTGCTAAACCCACTGAGCCACAGATTTCCCGTCAGGAAGACAGGGGTCCCTGGCAGGGATGCTGGGCTGTCTGGGAGAGCACCTCGTGAAAGCGTGGGGATGCTAACACGTGTGCTGTGAAGCCTGGCGGCCGGAAGGCAGAGGGAGCAGCTGGTGGCCCGCCGGGCCCTTGTCTGTGCTGAGATCAGAGCTTGGGAAGGAAGGCAAGGTGAGAGCTTCCTTTGCCTGATTCCCAGCCGACTCCTGGCGGGCTCTTTTCCTGGCTCCACGACAAGGCTGGAATGGTATGTCTGCACGAAGCCAAACAAGCCTCTCCGACTCGGGGCTACAGGACACCAGGAGGAGATGCTGGGGAGGATAGCAGGTCAGGAATTTCCACCCCTGGAATCTGAGAAGGCGGGAGCCAGCAAGGGGGCCTGGGGAGCAGTTGGCCTCTTCTGCTCGGGTTACAGACGGGAGGCCCAGGCCCACAGAAGGGGAGTCATGCCCAAGGCCACACAGCGAGCAAAAAGTCTCTAATGCCCTTCCTTCAGGGGTTGCTGAAATTGCGTAGAACATGCCAGCAGCATGTTCTTTACCTGGCTCATGTGCCCACGTTCCCAGACCAAAGGGTTGCCCCCCCACCCCCGTCGGTTACTCCAATCTTGGGGTGTGAAGGAGCCCCTTTCCTGCAACCCACAAAGCTCACAGCCATCCAATCGATGGCCACTCACAGAGACCCTATCGGACAGGGTATAACTACCCCTGTGGCTTTCTGAGACTAACTCTTTTCGGGAAGAGAAAGCCCCATCTTTCTCCTGAGAAGTAGCTGGTGGTTTTGAACCGCTGACTGTATGGTTAGCAGCTCAACACGTAATCACAGCGCCACCGGGACTCCTCCAAAGTCTCATGCCTTCAGCATCTTGGCACCCCACCACCTGCACGGTCACAGTGACCCACCTTCAACCCCAATTTTGCCGTCCCCATCCTTGTCTCCAGCGGCCATCAGCGTCTTGGTTTCTTTAGTAGACAGGTCTCTGGCATTTGCGGCAAAGCCCTTCAGGATGGATCTGGGGGAGGAAAGGGACAGAGCAGGAGGTCACCTTAGCCTCAGAGCATCTGCACAGGGAGAGGCCAGGGAGCCTGGGCTCTGGGCTGGTCTTGTGGGTGAGAGTACAGGAAGGGCAGGATGCCTTCAACCAGGGTGGACCCGGGGTCAGCACCTGGTGTGAGTGTATGTGTGTGTGTGGGTGCATGTGTATTCCATAGGCATTAAGTGCCTTCTCTGTGCCCCCAGGGGCCCATACTGTGACATGGAGCTGCTCTATACAAGCTGCCCCCAAAGCTGGGGAGGGCATGCATGCAGCATGCTGGGTTACAGTGATGGGGAGCAGAGGCCCGGGAGAATCCAGGGAGGCTTCCTGGAGAAGGTGACCCTAGGGCACAGGCATGGTTGGGCATATGGCGTTTCTAGACTGATAGAACCTTTGTGGGAAGGTTTAGGGGACAGACAAGCTGACTGGGGAGGTTCCCCACTTGGAAAACCCCTCTTCACACCCACTCCTGCTTCTTTACGGCAAAACCCAAGGCAACTTAGGCTGGAGGGGGACGGGTGAGGACAGAAACAGCTGGGCAGGCAGATGTGGGCTAGGGTGATGGAGGGAGTTGAGGATGGGGGTTTTCTGGGGGAAGACAAACAAAAAGCAATGAGACACAAAAGCCAGTCTCCCCTGCCTTGCCTATGGTGTTAGGCAAGAAGAGAAATGGCCTTTCCGTTTGTATTAAATTATTAAGCAGCAGCATTCCATTAGCAATATTAAGTGGCTATAATTTAACCTAGTTAGTGGTGCCTCTGCTAAGGGCTATGAGCGTTTGTCCCCTGGCTCCCTGGGGCTGAGTCTGGCGGTCATGAGTGAGGTCACACATGGTTATTGCTGCTGAGAAGGGTGCAGGGAGAGGGGCCCCAGGGAAGGGACTGATGGCACCTGGAAGCAAGTGACCCAGTCCCCACCCCACCCCCATCCGTTCTCCCTGAGCCCCAGTTTACCCGAGCTCATCCTCCTCAATGTAGCCACTCTTGTCTTTGTCCAGGATCTGGAAGATCTTCTTCACCTCGTCCGGAGTCTTCTTCTTCAGCCCGACCATTTGGAAGAATTTTTTGTGGTCGAAGGAGTCAGCAGCTGTGAGGGAAGAGGGGGTTACAGTGAGGACCTGGTGGGGGGGTGCTGAGGGAAGGGAAGATGGGGAAGGGGGTTCACAGTATGGGCGACTGTCCACCTGCCAGACTTTGGGTTGTGGGGGTGGGGTGGCAAAAGGAAGGGATGAGGCTCCCCCGACCCTAGGGCTGAGGAGCCTGGGATAAGTGAACTTGAACCTAGTTCCTGATGGCTGACAGACCTGCACCCCATCCACAGCCCCCAATGCTGATGGTGAGGGCAGAGGGGGCTCCTGGTAAGAACAGCCCACCGAAGACCCTACCCAAGACTTTGGTCCTTCTTTCCATAAAGGGGTGGAGGCTGAGTGGGACTTAACCGGGTGCCCAAGGGTAGCAGGAGTGATGGCCACAGGGGACAGGCTCCCCCTATCTTTTTCTTGGCCACAGATGGTGTTGCTCAGAAAAAGGACACGTTTTCTTCAAGGTCACAATGGGGGGAGGGGCGGGGAGGAGAGCGTATAGAGGCTGCACCAAGGGGAAGACCCAGAAATCTTGGTTTTATGCAGAAATTCATTCTTTTGGGAGTGGGGGAGCGCAGGCAGGCTCCAGCTGGTCCCCAAGTTTCTCCTTGAAAAAGTAGAGTGGCCACCCCCTGCCAGGAGGGTGGCATCTTCATGCCCCAGGGAGAAAGGAAATGAGAGAGCCCCCCCCCCAATTGTTTTAAGTTCCTCTGTTAGAGCACCCAGGAAAGCAACCGAGGAGTGGGGTTGGGGGTGGGGGTGGGGATAGTTCCTATTTCTGTCCATTGCTCCCTTCACTTACTTCTGACACTGGGTGGGAAAGGGGGAGTCCTGGAGACACCCTGGAGACACTAGTTCGAATCCCCCACCTGCCTCATTTGGTGACCTTGGACAAGTCTCTCTCCCTCTCCGAGTCTCCGTTTCCCCATCTGATGACTGGGGAGGGGGCAGCGCAGCATTCAGATTGGGGGAGAGGGACTCCCGCGCCCCGCTGCTGCTGCTGGAAGTTGAGAGCCTTGAGAATACTGGGCGCAAGGTTGGAGAGAATAAAGTGCCCGCGGCTGCTCCTGGGAAGGTCACCTCGGCCCCGCATCTACGATAGACTTTCGGGGGACGCTGAGCTCCAGGGAGGGGCCTCCCACAGATGGTGGACCAGTAGTGGCCACCGACGTGGGAGCCAGAGCTGGGGTCCTGGAGAGGGGTGAGAAGGCGTGAGCGCTTGCAGCCCCTCTAAGCGCCTTAAAGAGGAAGTCCGGAGCGCGCCTGGAGGCTTAGAAGCTCAGGTCTCCGAGCCTGGTCTTCGCCCTGGGTCAGCGACTCCAGAGTCCTTGGCGCGCGAGGAGCCGACAAGTATTGGTCCCTCAGGCAGGACGCCCGACCTCCAGGGTCGCTGCCTGGGCCAAGTTTTGCCTGGGCGGAGCGTGGGGAAAGGCGGGGACCCCTGTCCCGGGCGCGTCGTGGGGTGCGTGGGCAGGCGGGCGCGGGGCGCAGGGGCTCGGGCAGAGGGCTCAGGGAGGGATTGCGCGGGGGATCGCTGCTCACCTGCAAAGGCTCCCACTGCTTTCTTCATGTCCTCGGCGCTGAGAAAATCTGTCATCGACATCCTGCAACTGTTGGAGCGGGCAGAGCAAGTGCGAAAAGATTAAAAAGTGCTTTTCTCATCATTTCTGCTCATATGACCAACGCTGCAGTGCCGCGCGCCCGCCGGCCTGGCCTGCAGCCAGGGGACGCGGGACGCGGCGCGCGGCCGGCCGGGCTTAGAGCAGCCGCGCCACGGAGCCGCGCGGTGCGTCCAGCGGGGCGCGGGTCCCATCTCTGCCATCCCAGGGGCCGCGGCTGGGCCACTAGGACAGGGAGACGGCCCCTGGGATCTGCGGGGCGCCTGCCTAGCCAGCTGGGACTAGGACTGGAGGGGGCTCAGCAGAGGGTGGGGGTCAAGGGCACGCAGGGGGCGCGAGCCTGGAACCGCGCAGGGACTCCACGTCTGGGCACCCCACCTGGGAGGCCGCCGAGGCTGCAGGAGCCTCCATCCCTGCGGGCCCTGGGCTCCGCTCCTGGGCTCTCTCTGACCCTACCTGAGCCTGGCCTCCAGTCTGCCCAGCGATGCAAATGCGGGCTGTAAAATCTGAGCGCTGAGGTGGCGAAACCTGACCCAGGGGTGGCAGGGAGGGCCCGGGACAACGCTGCTCCCGCCCTCCTCTCACATCTGGCCTGGGAGGAGCTTTGGGCAACCGGTATCTTGTTTGGATTTGGGTTTGACTTTGCACTCACCACCTGCTTTTCCAGTGCTAGCCCATGGCTTCCACCTTGGATGCACCCTCTCCCCACCCCTCCACCCTAGGTCCACAGGGGCTCCGTGTGCACTCGGGGCAGGGCAGGGTGGTGCAGTGGACCACAGTCCTCGCAGCCTTCAGCCTGTGCTGTGGGTCCCCGGCTTCATCCAGGGGTGGGAAGGTAAGAGAGATGTCCTCATTGGACGTCTCCAGGGGCCTGTGCATCCTTTCCCATGGCTACTGTGCATCCTTTCCCAGAGTCCAGCCTACTGCCCGCTGCCCTCAGGGCCCGGGGTCAGGGGAGCAAGAGTTCCAGACCTGGGACTGCTCTGTTCCTTGTGTGAGTTTGGGCTGCGGCCTGCTCCCTCCCTCTCTGGACTTTGGCCACCTGTGTAGTGTTGGATGGTGGTGGTCCTTTATGGTGGGACTTGGGGATTCCAATCTAAGGCAGCTAGGTGGGGAGGGGCTTGGGCTGGGTGGCCCTCCGTGGAGGAGGGAGGAGGGGGGAGGAGGCTGCCTGGCTGCCAGTGGCTCTGGTCCCCTTGTACCCGCTGTCAACACCGTCTCCCCCTTTCAGCCCTGGACCCCTGCCCTTCCTGGAAACCCAAGGAAGCTGCTGTCCCGGGCTGCACCCCCCTGTGAGTCAGCTCCTTCGGGCCACCACCAGCCAGCTGGCTTAGAAGATGCCCAGGCTGCAGCTCCTGATCTGATAGCCCTTGGCTTGGGGCCCTCCCGCTGAACCCCTCAGCCACATGGCCCCTGTTGACCCTGGTACTGCCCACCGTCTCCACCCTGCCCCCGGCTGGGCTGCTCACTCCAGGACTTCTGTGCTATCATGCCCACCCCCACCCCTGCCCCTCAGCTCTTTTGCTCCCCCAAGCTTCACCTACCCACCTACCCAGGAGCCTATAGGAGAGTCTGTGTGCCCAGTGGAAAGAACCTGGTGCTAACCTGGTGGGAAACTGAGGCTGAAGAGATGCAGAGAGAGAGCCCTAAGGACACCCAGTGAGGCCATAGCCTAGCAAGGGCCATGCAGGTTTGATGAACTTGCCTACACTGACTGCCAGGGGGCAGGTAGGGGACCATCCCCTCAGCCCCCCACCTCAGGTGACCTGAGCCCCACACAGTTTTCTGGAGCACCCTGGCACACTGACATGGTCCTTCCACCCCATGAAGGCAGGAGCCTTGACAGGGTCATCTCCCCCCACCCCACCTACTTCCTCCATCTCCCCCTCAGGTGAGTCCAGAGTGCACCCTGCCCCCAACCTGGAGCATCAGCCCCGCCCGCCCCGTAACAGTCCGCTGGTCACTCCTCCACCCCGCCCCTCCTGCCTCCTCTGCTCCCTCAGGGGTGGGGGGCATGATGGCATGGCCAGAGCCCACAACTGTCCTCCTGCAGGTGGGGGACTTGAGGTCCAGACCTAGAGGCAGAACAGTGCCTGGAAGTCCACGCTGCTTCCTCTCAGCACCCCACCCCTTGCTGCACCCCCAGCTGGACTCTCCTCCCCCCACCACCATCCCCAACCCCAGCCCATTTCCACCGCTCACCTGGTGGGGGTGGAGGGCCAGAGGCTGAACCGAAAGACTGGACTGGTGGCAGTCCTGTTGGGAAGTGAGCCTGGCCGCAGGGTGGCCACCTATATAAGCTTCTGCCCTGACTATTTTGGGAGGTGGCACTGCCCCCAGCCCCCGGCCCCCTCCCCTTCCGGTGTCAGGTACTCCCCAACTGTGGGGCTGGGTGTCTGTATCACATTCACCCCCGTGGGCCCATCAAGCCAGGCCTATTAATAACCCTTGGCCCCTGCCTCCCTCTAGCACCCAAAATGGAGTCCCAGGCTGGGCTCACCTCCTCTGAGAAGCCTTCCCTGATCACCTTGGATGGCATCAACATTTCCTTTCTCCAAACCCCAGCAGGGAAGGAAGAAAAAAGGCTGGGAAGGGAATTGATGGAGCAGGAACTGCTTACCCCCCACAGGAGTGGGCTATGTTCCCACGTGCACGCAGTCTCTGCCCACAGCACTGCCATGCTGGTGGCTTGGCCCTCCACACAGAGAGGCACCCTGAGGCATGAAGACCTTGGTGACATTACTTACTGCTTGGAGCCTGGCCCGGAGGTGGTGGAACTGGCCGAGACCCCTGCCCTGCCTAAGATGACTGGCTGGTGGGAAGGTGTGTTTGGCACATTCTCTGAAAAGCCTCATCTCTTTGCGTCTCTCAGTCTCAACCAAGCGCCACCAGGGCCAGCATGGATTCCACAGGGGAGCTTGGAGGAGTATGAGACCTTACACCCGTATACCCCAAGGACATGCACAATGTCCCACACAAGTGGAGCAAAGGGTCACGACTTTCATGAGATTGGCATGGCGCCTGCCATCCTAGCCTGGAGATGGCAGTGCGGGGGTGGGGTGGGGTGTGTTTGAAACACACGCACTCACAAATACGTACAACAAAGGTTTGTTAAATCTCTTGTAGGGACAAGAGTCCTGGTGGTGTGGTGGGGGATGCGTAGGGCTGCCAAAGGCAAGGTCAGCAGTTCGAAACCATCAGCCCCCTCTGAGGGAGACCTACGAGGCTTTCTGCTTCTGCAGAGTTACCCTCTTGGAAAAGCACAGGGGGCAGTTCTACCCTGTCCTGCAGGGTCTCTAGGAGTCAGCATGGACTCAATAGCCGTGCGTTCCAGAGTGAATCTGGTATGAACAACAGTGAGGTCGGCCCCTCCCCACCCCACTCCCCTTAAAAAGATTCCCAGGGTGCTGATATTGCCTATACAGAGGCTTGGCTCCTGATGGTGATGTGAGGGGCCCAGCTTCCAGGCTTACGCTGCTGGAAGAGAGAGGCTCTGGTTGGCTGTGCCCTGACTACATGGGGGTGGGGGTGGGGGAGCAGAAGGGTGGGCTGGCCAGGGGGAGGCTGCAGCTGGAGCCTGGCCAGGGCTCACTGTCCACCACCCTGTCCTCCAGGCTAGGATGTCCACAGTGAAAAGAGACAGGGCTGTGTAAGTGGGGGCTGGAGTACCCCGTCAGAGGGGAGCTCTTCCAGACAGCAGGGCCAATCCAAGCGGATGCTATTTTCCAGCCCAAGTTCACTGGAGAATGGGGGTGTTTTGGGACTGGAGCGAGCCTTGGGAGCGGGGAGGTAGGGCCTCGCAGGCAGCAGGGTGGGTGTCGATCTGCTGGAGTTGAGAATTCTAAGGTGTCCTGGGTGGGGTGGACTCGGTAGTCCCTTCCTGTCAACTGCTCATCTGATAGGTGAATGAATCAAAGCCATGGTGACTTACCTTGAGTCACAGAGGGACCGGGCCTGGGTTGGGCTTGGGATGCCCAGGGAGGGAGGGCCCTGGAGACACCCAGGTCTGAATTCCAGAGAAAGAGCAGGGCTGGGGGTTACCAGGAAGGCCAAGGCCTTGTGGCATGAGAATGGCTACAATTCGAGAGGGGAAGTGTCAGAAACTCAGGGACCCATGCTTGAAGGTGCTCCCTGGGTCCAGGCAGGCCTACGGGTGGGGGTGTGGGGTGGCTGGATGCTGGGAAGGGAGTGGAGGTTTAGGCTGTATAAGCTGGGGCAATGTGGCCCGCTCTGTGCTGACCACTAGCACTCTGTGCTGGCTACTGTGCACACAGCGGCCGCGCTCATCCATGTACGTACCCCCCGCTACAAGGGAGGCAGCGCCATCCTCCTTTTGCCAAAGAGAAAACAAGGCTTAGCAAGGCTTA